GCTAAACAGCAAGTGTTTGTATCTCACAAGATGGCTATGATCAGAAAACAGAAGGATGGATGAGATCCAAATCACTATCTGAGGGAGTAGAAAGGCCATGGTCAGGAAGTGACAGGAACACAGAAAGGCTAAGTAACGATACAAAATCTGGCTGAGACAAAACAGACAGCAGAGCCTCACAGCAGGCTACAGGTAGGAGCTGGAGGCCCTGAGCAACTCCAAGGAACAGAGCTCTGCATCCCTTTCCTGGACTTCTCCTACAAAGTTTAGTTTAACTACAGAAGTTTAACTACTGAGAGCACTGTCATCCTTTTTTTGACTGTTTTGAACCCCATGACATTTCTTGGAGGACTACTGCAAAACTCTGTTGCTCAAATGGCAAGAAAGGTTCCCCCAGTCTTCTGCTGAAACACACATTGCCCGTTTATACATATTTGCTTTTGTGCCAATACTGTTCCTTAGCTTGATTAGTTCTTTTCCCTTGCTGGCATTTTGTCCATGATGCATCTATACACAGCAATGGCATCCCCTCATGTAATTTAATTAAAGCCCATGATTTTTCTAAAACAGACACTCAGTTTCTATAACTGTCCTAGTAGTCCCTTCTGCATGTGAATAGAGACAACTAGAGAGGTACATAATATTTTGGAATGGATTTAATTACATGAACACTTTCCAGCTCTATTTGAAGTACTCTATGCTTTCTAGAATCATGTGTGCCTCCTTTATAGGTGTGTATCACACTGTTTGGTCATGGACATCCTGTGACTACCTGGTATATTGCTCCTCTCATTAGAAAATTGCTTGTTAGGCCCTTCCTTTTTATGTTAAGGTCTTTAGTAAAATATTAACATCATGCTCAAAACCAACCTTTAAGAAACATAAGAACAGCCATACTAGGTCAGAACAAAGGCTTGGTGTCCTGTCTCCAATAGTGGCCATGAATAGATGCCTCAAGATGAGTAAGAACACAGCAAACATATAACACTTCCTCTTAAAACTCTCACAGCATCCAACTACTTTCAACTTAGTGACTGCCCAAGACAGATGCGGTTTCTCAGATTCTACTTAGTAATCTTCAATGAATTTCTCTTCCACAAACTTGTCCGATCCCCCCTTAAGGCTAGATAAGCTATTAGCAGCCAGACATGCTTTAGAAAGTAGTTCCACACATCTACTGCCCTTTGGGCAAAGAGCCACCTCTTTTTGTTTCTTTTGGTCTTAATCTATTTATGTACCCTAGCACCTGTATTGGAAGGAGAGG